TTCTATCACATTCTCGGCACGGTCTCCAGTCAGCTTGGGAACGCTGCGGAGGTCAGCCGCGGATATCGAAACGGTAGCTGCTTGCAGAAAAGTACGAACGGGGGCTTCGGTCGCTACAGTAGTCGATGCCACCTGCGACGTTGAAGTAACAGGTGGTGCTACGACGGACGATTGCGCATTCGCGAGTGCAACCTGTGCTGTTGAAGTAACAGGTGACTCTATGAGGGACGATTGCGCACTAGCAAGTGCAACTTGGGATGTTGAAGTAGTTTCGGTTGTACTACTAGACGTACACAACACCGAAGTAGACGTGTTTACGGGCGCAGTGAGCGACGGACTCGGCGAGGGATTTGATCCACTCGTTGCCTGCGCGGACGGAACGAACGATGGTGCTGCAGGGGACAACGGTGTCCGCCTGGGCAACGACGGAGCTAAAAACGGAACGCTTGAACTTTTACCGATGTCGGTGCAGTTGCACTCGTTCCACGAGACGAGGTTCCACGAGACGACGTATCTGACGCTGTTGCGACAGACGATGAGGCGGGCACCGACTCCGTCAGGAGACGCTGCTGCCAATTGATGGTAGCTGGCGAAAGCTCCGGAGGAGTCCGCCTGTGCCGCAACGCTCGGAGGTAAGCCTTCACCTCCTCCCTGCACGTTGCCTCCAGCAACTGCAAGGACGACAATCGATCAACACCATCATCATCATCCGATGAACGGTGCGACCGATTCCCTTCGTCTTCCGACAAAGAGGACGACGACGACGATGGAGACGGCGACGACGGGCCGGTGGGGGACGCTAGGACGTGTTGGTCTTCGTCCTCCCCTTCGGGCTCGAAGTCGACGAGCTGCTGTTGGTCCTCCTCCTCTTCATGGAAGTGGACCTCTTGTTTCTTTCTCGACTCTTTTCTGTTGCCCATGATGGCAACTGCCGCAAGGTAGTGCCACCACCGCACAAAGAACTCAACAAACACACGTAACGCCGCTGACGCCACTATGAGACTGTTGTCTCCAGGTTCGCGTGTGAGCAAGTTCCCTTAGGGATGGGCGGTGTGGATACACACCGGATCAATCTCTGGTGGAGAGGCTGATGTACGCTACGTTGAGTCGAGTATGTGTGTGAGGCAGGTGGGGATCAACCTTGTGTTGAAGCAAGGTTCAGCATCCAACCTGCACTGACTCTATCTGTGGTAACACCCCGAAGGTAGATCTCCGACAGGTCATCTGACGTCACAATCTACGACAGTCTGAGGTGGCATTCACAGCCCCCCTATACACAAAAAAAGGATCACCAATTGTAATATAATAGGGCTACCTGGTGAAAACAAAAAAAGGGTGGTTCCAGTCAAGGTCTTGGTTGTATTAATACCGACCACATGTCAAAATTTCAGGTTCTAATTCGTAGAAATCGTGATGTAAATCTGTCAGCGTATATTCCGCTGTGCACTAGCAGTAGTGCGATGCTGCATATGCCGATAGGCTGTGTAGCCTACCTCAGAGGTTTACACTCTGTGCGGCTCCAACCGCGAGAGACTTGGGATAGAAATATGAAGATGGTTTTATTAGTCGCTGACTCCCGAGTCAGATGTTGCTGGTACTGAAGAGGAGTGAGAGAGGTGGGTGAGCTTAGGGCTGCACCACTCTTCTCGACTACCGGACAAATAAGCCAATCACACGAAAGATCCAGAATGCTTTCAGAATGATTTCTGGAAGCCCTCCTACATTCTGTAAGAGTACCAATTGCAACCTAGATCTAGAACGCTTCCAGAAGCTTATAGAAGGAACCACAAGTTTCCAGAAGGCTTCCAGAAGCTACACACGTTCTACGTAGATGTCCCGGTCAACCTTGATCTAGCATGCTTCCGGAATATTTCTAGAACAAGAGAATACATGCCACGGAGAGATGGATTCTTTTCTACTGCTACGCAGACTAGTTGCTGCAATCGTATTCAAAGGTCAAACCGTGTCCGACTACTGGTGGTTTCGACGCACGATTTTTCCTGACAAAATCGTTGTCAACCATTTGCATGCAACTTGGCTGGCCCAGCTTGTAAAGTTATGGTGCGGCGTAACTACCTCAAACAGGGAATATTTGTGTCAATTAATTCTTGTTTCCAGGAAAATAATGTTGTGTGGCTGGCCAATCAGACAACAATTCTGATTTCCCTGTTCCATGTTCCCCGTCCCGAAACGTGCAGTTAAGACACGCCCTTACCATCGCTACTGCTGCTGCGTTTGGCTGTTTGTTTTTTACCGGGGTATCCATGTAAGTCGATATCACCGTAGTCTAAATATGCATATGTTTTTGCGTGTGATCTCTCTCTCTCTCTCTCTCTCTCTCTCTCTCTCTCTCTCTCTC